CTCCCTCAGCCCCTCACCCCGGCCAGCCCAGCCTGACAGAATTCGTGCATTGGGCCTCTAGTATGATCATATTAACCAATGGCACCCCAATAAATTTAACAAAAAAAAGAATGTCTATAGCAAGGTTTCCTTTTCTCTCTGTCTGCAATGTGTGGATTCAATTCATGCATTCCCAGAAGAGGAAAAGAAAAAAGCCTGCTCCACTGGTCTTCCTTTATTCTCTAAGAGAATGGCTGCCTGGGTTGTTAGAGGGGCAGCTTCATGATTTCTCATTTGTTTTCTGATAAGGTTAGAAAACAGCTAAGGACCTCTTCCTGCTGTGATTTCTGCCACAGGGATGCCTATCCATCTTCATGCCTCCCTCTCTATAGCTCCTTTATCTCTGTCTAAAATAGATTTATGTGGTGCCCTTCATCTTAAGAACAGAACAAAGCACTTTCCCAAACATGCCTTATGCCTTCAGGCAACTATCTCCTCTTCCTCATTCTCAGATTCTTGAAAGCTAATCCTGCTGCTTGGTCACCTATGATCTACTCCCTTCTTCCCATAGAAGGATAGGCCACCTCCTATCCTTCTATTGCTACCTTTGATCTCTATTACCTTCAAATCAACAACTCCAAATAGGCTTTATTCTTGCTGGCTTCTCTGAGAGTTTGCTAAGTCAGCTTTTTTTCTGCAAGCTTCCATTCCCTTGTCTTCCATGATGCATAATTCAAGGCATTCCCATCCTCCTGTCATCACTCTCTTTCTGTCTCCTTTGCTGGCTCCTCATCTTCCTTCTTGTCCCCAAATTTAAATGTGTTCCAAGGATCTCTATTATCTGCCTTTCCGCACCTTTTCATTCACTCCCCAAGTTTACACAGTTCCATTGTACAGATGACACCAAAAGCTCATCTCTAGACTAGATTCTTCTAAGTTCCACATTTGCTTCCAACTTCCTACTTTGGTCTTCCACCTGATGGCCTCCTCACACAATAAAGTACACATTTTGAAAGCCCAGCCACTCAGGCTGTCCCTTTGCCACAAAGTGCCTCTACTGAATTTCTGCCAATACTTCACTCAGTCACTCAGATTGAAACGTTGGATTCAATTTAAATTCTTCCTTCTCTGTCACCCTCTGCATCCAATCAGTTACCAAAACTTTGCATTTTACTCTTGCAAAATACATCAAACCTGTCTCTTCCTTTAAACTTCAATTGCCACCCTCTTGTTCACACATTCATTACCCTGATATAATCAGGACCGAAAGAACCCTGATTTTATCTTTTCACTCCAGCCTCAATTCATTCATATCCAAAAGTTACATCATCTCAAGATACTTCTGATTATGTCATTTTTCTCCTCCTGTCTCCCTCCCAAACTAGTTTAGGACTCTCTTCAATGTGGCTCCAGTGCATGGTTTCAGACTCCTTTCTGTCAAGACTCGTACACGGAGCCTGTATGTTGGTGTGCAATATATACTGATAGGCAGGCCACTTCCTGGACTCTGTCCACTTTCTTTTACTGACTTCCATAAATATTCTCCTATCCCAATTCTGTCTACATCTTCTCCCCAGGATTTATAACCCATATCAAGTAAGTTGCTTACTGCACCTCAGTTTTCTCATCTGTAAAATGAGCTCGATAGTGCCTACTCAAAAACTGTGAGTATGAGAATGTATGCAAAGTGCTTGGGACAATATCGACACACAGTAAGCACTGAACTATTGTTACTGTTATTGTTGGTCATCTGTTAGTTAGAAACTAGAGGGAGGAAGGGTGATTGACTGAAATCCTTATCTTAAATACTTAGGGTCTAGAGGATTTTCTCTCCTGAAGTACTGTTCCTCTTCATCTTATTGGTTGA